CAGATGTGTGCCTGCTTCTGTTTCTTACCTGTTCCTTCAGATGTCACCACACTCCAAGACACAGTGTTAAGGTTACCACAGTGTTTCATTGGTTAAAGGTGCAGAGGAACAAAGCAATTCTGTAACCTTTTTGACTCTTATTCTAGTGCCTCTGCTTCAATGTCTTTCCACTTTTGTTCCCACACAATATCTTCCTGTGTGTCTGTGCTTACTCTAGACTATACTCTTCCTTTCGAGCATCTTCCTCTGCATCCCCCACCTCTTGTTCTGTTCTCATCCCCTCAAGGTTTGACTGATACAGCTTTTTTTTTAAAAAAAGGAATTTAGGTACAAGCACAGTATCACTGAATAAGCAATGAGAAGTCAGGAAAAAGGACAATTTGCCACAGACCAGTTACTTTAGACGCGTACAACAGCAGATGAGTTAAGCCCTAGTAAAGAACACACACACTGCCTTTAGTAAAAGATTTTCCTTTTCAGTAAATCACAAAATCACATTCCACCCAAACCACTGAACAGCATCTGTTACTCACTTGTTCCATTTAACTCCTTTCCTGGTATCTGACTCATCTCAACATAATGGTTTCTCAAATTCCCTCTTCTGTGCTGCTGGCAGGAGTCCCGAGTACTAGGTGGTCAGCCTCCACTACTCCAAAGCTCACAATTCATTACCATGCAACAGCAATTACATAATCAAGCATTATGACGCAGGCAGACCCTGCTTAAGCCTGTCAAACATATGAAAACTAGTAGAGGTATCAGCTAAATGAAAACCATAAACCAGTTCTAACCTGACCAATGATTTCTAGTGATTTGGTTAACACAAACTCTTGAAAAATTTTAGAAAATGAAGGCTTAATCTGGATGTCAACACCGTGCTGACACTTCAGTTTTCTGAGCAGTGATCGAGACTTGTGGACTTAAATGCCCGTTTATTCCCTTCTCTCAAACCATGTTACTTTAGCAATTAAAAGATATTACAAAAGCCTTCTTCTAATAAAAACAAGTACTTTGAATTGTTTCTGTATATTAAAAGGTCTCATCAGTCCTTCTGTTAGCTTGTCTCCACCTAGTACTCACAGAACTATTTAAGGAATATTTAAGACGCTCTGAACGTAATAGTAGTCAAGCCACTCTACTGATGTGGTGGTTACTGTGTTCCTTACCAATAAAACGGTTAACTTTTCACCCAAAGGCAGAACATTGCTCAGTCTATAGTCCTAAAGACCTAAAGCTGAGGGTTTCTTACGAACCCAGAAGGTCTGACCACAAATCTCATTCATTTCATTCACAGGTATGGACTGGTCACTATCAGAATAATTCACTTGCCCAGTACAGAAATCTAAGATCACGCCAAGCCTAAAGACACCAGCCCTCTGCTCATCTTCAGAAAGCCTTTGCAACAATTGCGGCGGGTCTTAAGTTTGTGTTTCAATGAAACGAAACTGAATGCAAGACCCAAAGAATGACATTTCAGGAAAATCAAGACAACAACTATCTGCAACATACCATATTTTTCTAAGTATCTGCTGTTCTGTTTGCCACACTACTCGGACCGAGAACTTTCAGCAAAGCTGATTTCAACGGCAGCAGCAAAGATCACGGACTACTGCAACAGCAATGCTTGTTATGACAGATTTTATTTGCCAAGAAATGTAATACTCAGGTTAGATAACAGGGATGCCTACCTACACAACAGCTTTTCAGACACCTCTGTTTACAAAAGTCTATTTTAGACCTTTCATAATAGTACCCAAACAATAAATAACCGACCCAGAAAAGAACTAAGGAGTGGGTGAAAACTCCTTGACTTACAAAGCTGTGCTGTAGCAAGGCACTCTATTCGACCATCAGTATTAAGGGAGAGAAGGCATAAATGGATATATTGCTTTGTAAACTGAAATAATTTAATAGAAGACTCTAATCAGATCAAACCTGTAGGATTCTGCTAATTTTTTGAATACATTCAACAAATATATATATAAAACTTTGTCCAGTGATAGCTTGTAAGAAAAATATTTAATAATTTTAACACAATTCTACTGTAATGAAACTTTGCAACTGTTGCCATGTCACTCATGACAGAATAGACATCGCTAATACATTGTTTTACGTCGAACTTCATTGCAGAAAGAATGACAAGTTCCTGGTTCTTGTTACAGCAATGCCCGAATAACCCCCTTTGTGCGTGACTGGCAAAGCGACGAGTTAGTAGTTCCCTTCTCAATTCCAATGAAAGCTTAAGGATGTTTCCACAATAAGTTCCTCAGTTTCATCAAGACAGCTTCAGTCCTTGAACGTTTTGTTTCAGATTGAGCAACTCTTTCTCTTGCCTTGTTTTCTCCAGTTTGAAGGCGAGCTTATTGGCTTTCTTTTCCATTCTGCGTTCCTGGGCACAGGAATAATTACAAATTTACAAAATAAGCATAACGTGCAAAAAGAAACCATTCTAATGAACAGCTCTAGATCCTGAAAACAGCAGCAATCTGGACAGTATTATTATTTATGGCACCAACAATTAGTAGTCTAATTAATACGCGCGCCACCAGGATTATAATCTTTAACTAGCCAAAGCTTCTAATATGCTGGCAATTTCTGTTCCTCAGTAAAACCACCAGTACATCACTGTGGCAAATCAGATGTTTCGTATTTCTTTCAGAGACTTTTCACTTTGTGTGATCCAAGTTCTTCGCTTCCTGAGATAATGAGGAATTATGAGGGCTCCTTCCAAAGCTATAGATGTAACAGTGGCCACAACAACAGACCCAAATTCCCATACAGGAAATGAGGAGGACAAAACCATGAGGTTAACTTTCTTTCCAGTAGATTTTTTTTTTTTTTTAAAGCGGTAATAATTAGTCCTTTGAGACCAGCAAGTTTTCCCCCTTAACTTCCAGTCACAAGTAGAAATGAGCTTTAAAAAAAGTCTGTAAACCAGAATTCAGGTAATGTAACCCATTTTTGCAGGGTTTCATTTAAAACAAGGTGTACCTTTCGCTCCTCTTTTATGGCCTGTTTCCTAGCTTTGCGATCCTCTTTGCTCTCGTCTTTGGAACGGGGCTGCGTTGATGCTCTTGGCAGGTCACTGCCATTAATCATTTGCATGCGTTCAATCTGCTTGGCAGTAAGGCCTTTCTGAGGCAAGATATGCAGGGGAATTCCGGTCTTCTGGGAAATTTTTATTGGTTTGGGCTAAAATAGAGAGCACGTATGTATTAACAGTCCCTTGCTTTGTCTCCAAGCAGCGCACACCGCACTGCCATACAGCGGATTCAGATTTAACAGGAATAAACACCTAAGTCTCCTCACTCTATTATTTCCTTCCCTCAGAAAAAAACACATTAATCCCAAAGTATGAAATCAAACACACCTGGTGAGCAGATTATGGCCTCCCTTTTATTTAAGTATTAGTGAAAAAAAAACCCCAACATAAGTAGGCAATTGATATTCCTTTATAAACTTTCAAGAAAAAGGTCTCCCTTCAAAAATCTCACATCTAGAACATCAAGCTGTGCTCTAACGATAGGGAACATCTGGAAGGCCAAAGAACTAGAATAAATTGTTTTGAACCATAGAAGTGAAACAGAAGCCTATTTTCATGAAAAAAAAAAAAACAACTAGTATGTAGTTGTGAGACAGATTACACAAAGGTGTATCACACATAACAAGAAAGTAACTTCCTTGCTCTCTACATTCCTGCCAAGCTATTAGAGAAATTTTGAACTTACTCAATTTTCCTTCAACAGAAAAAAATATATCCACACCCTTCTTCAGTGAAGAAGCAAAACTAGAGGCTAACACTCTCCCCAACCCTCTTCTCTGCTCCCTCCTCCTTTCCAAAACAGATATCCATTGAGAAAACAATCACTTTCGTCTCAAGTTTTCCCAGGCCAGGTTGTTAGTCAGAATAAGCTTAATGATTTTACCTTTGATGGCTCCTTAATAAGCGTTGGGTGATTATATAAGTTTGAATATGTACCTAGGTCACAAAGAAAGAAAGAAGAAAGCGATGAAGAAAGCCTTGCAAACAGAAGTTAGGTAAATCTATCATGAATTGTATTACTGCTTAGTCTTTGAAGATATAAAATTGCAAGATCTAAGTTATTCACACAAAAGCAGTAGTTTTACCTAGCAAGAATTGCTGCTGTTGTGTTTCAGAAGCATAAACCATTTTACCTAAAGCCCTGCTAGAAAAGTTCTGAGATCACCCATCACTTACCTTGAAATCCTAGGAACAAACAAGCAAACTCCAAAATACTTACTCAAAATGGATTCGCAATCCCACTTCTCTTTTGGTTCCTCAATAACTACAGCTACTATTTCTTCCTTTTCTTCCTCACTTTCTTCGTTCACAGGAGAGTCTAAATCTTCACAGGGTTCAAGAGCATCCAATTTCACACAGCTTTGAGGAAGTCCAGAGAAGAAAAAAAGGTTTATCTTTTCTTGAAAATGTGCAATTATGTAAACCCAGTCTCCCCTCAGTAAAACCCCAAACCAAAGAAAGACATTCCCAATGAAACTTGCAGCAAAAATAAGTTCCCTTAATAATTCCCCAAATAAACTAAAACATTAGGAGAAGAGCAGAGTCAAAAAAAGAAGCATTTCTGCGCTTCAAAAGTACGTGGCACACAAAACCTGTGACTGGAGGGCAGGAAGAGAAGAGGACACACTGTTTAGTCTGTAAGCGAGGCAGCCCTAGAGGGGATTACGCACTCTGCTACTGACCAGCCACCTTTCACTACAAGGGACACGTCACCTGCCTTTCAATCAGGGAACACAAGGCTAATGTGAGAAAATTTCGGCGTTTAACTCTGGGATATCATCACCTGCTTTAAGACGCAGTGGATACACCGCGGAAATGCAGCCGTACGTCGACCCAGGGCTGCCCTGTAAGCACGCATTTTTGCAGTGCTCCCAACGGCGCTACCCGCGCAACAGTCGCCTGCGAGTTCATCGTAACCTAAGGAGGTACACAGTGGAATCAGCTGCATACCAGCAGGGCAGAACAGACTTGCCTACAGAGTCTGTTAAATACGAAAGCAAAGGTATCAGGAGAAAGGTAAGTTACCCGAAAAAAGGAAAGGAAGAATGCCTCTAGATATTGCTTACACTCCGTTCATTTCAATTATACAAAAGGAGCATAACCTCACATCAGCCAAAAAAAGGCCTCCACTTAATTTTATCATCTCATAAGTTAAGATGGACATTCAGTCACATAAAAAAACCTGGACAACACTCATATGCAGCTGCTTTTGTGGTGGGACGTAACCTTTGAGGACATGAACCGGAAACACGAGACCCAAACTTTCAATACACAGGTCACACAACTACTTATGTGAAGCAGTACTGCTGGGAATACATACTTCTTTGCCTTCTCTTTGTAGTAATCATTCAGGACTTCCTGCAACCGAGCATTGTCTGTGTTAATGTAGCCTTCTAACTCCACGTTATCCAGGGCTCCAATTTCATCTTCATCAAATTGTTCAAAAAACTAAAATAAGGAAGTGGACACCTGTGATTAGATTGCGTTTGTTGTGCAACTTCTTGATAGCTTAAAGAAGATCTAAGCG